ACAGGGACCAACCCGCCTTGTCCTATGCATGCCAGCAATGAATTATACAACTAACAACTTCTATCTACAGAATCTATCTTCATTTATTAAGACAGTGCCTTTTAAATTTTCTCCACCACAACCAGAATGGAAAATCCATCGCATGTCAAACCGCAATACATATGCACACACACACAGAAACACTCACTCAACCTCACCACCCGTGATTCACATGGTCGTTTCTATTCCAGTCTAGTTCACATTCTTTGAAAATTCTGGTCACACCCTCTACATTGATATATAATCTAATTATGGGTTACAAAAGCAGGCTGAAAAACACTTTATTTAAATATTCACAATGTTACAAAGAAGATATTAAAACTGTTCTTGATGTCAGCCTGCATACACGCAATGTCCATTTATTGATAGCTGAGTTCTCCCTTGGGCGATTCAGAATGCAGAAAATCACCTTTCCATATGATGCCGACACTGATACGAAGGCTTTCGACTGGCTGTAAGCTTTTCCGAGCACGTGTCTACTAGTTACCTTATTGGAGCTACAGAGTTATTGTGTAGGACAAGCAGGCCATAGCAGGGAACACTGGGTGATGCTAAAGGACTGACTTCATGCGTGTGTTCACCACACACACACACACACACACACACACACACACGATCCTTTAAAAGGAAAGAAAGAAAAAAGACAAGACTTACCCCAATCACAGGGCAAATGAAAAAACAAGTCAGAGCTAGAATCTAAGTCTTCTGACTTGAGTTCTAACTCAAGAGTTCCAAACCCAAGTCAAGATCCTTGAAAACATCCCATGCCCTCTGCACTCCGAAGGGCACAGTCCACAGGTTACTTCTGCAACCAGGTGGCCTGGGATGGTGAACCCGTTATGTCAGGACAGCAGAAATGACTGAGGAGTGTGGCAGGGCACCCAGTGTACCTGCTGGAAGTCCTTCCCCACCACTACATGCTCTGTTGTCATCTACACAGCCAAACACTACAGTGACAGAAAAAAGACATGCTAATTGCAGGCAGTGTAACAGTCACCTTCATGTCCCTTTCTGTACCTCCTCATTAATCACTCACACTGCAGAGGACACCTAACCACAGGGTTGACATCACTCCAGGATTAGACAAGTGAGTGCTGAGACCATCCCACACCTGCCCAAAGCCCAGCAGGCCCACCTTGGTCTGCTTTGTGACACATGACAGCTCCAGCCTCCAAACGCTCTTCATTTTACAAGAAAAAGAGGATTCCAGAGGCCACAGAACGTGATCCTAACAAACTAGTAACACAGGCTGTACTCCAGTTACTGCCACCGTCTGACGGCAAAGCAGCCACACACACTTCTAAGGACAGGATCAGAACAAACCAGCAACACGGGCTGCACTCGCTACGGCCACCGTCCAACAGCAAAACAGCCACACACACTCCTAAAGATGTTTACCAGATTCACTTCAACCCAACAGCACCAATATTCAAGATCACACGGTTCTCATCCGGAAATTATTTCACAATACACCTGTCCAAGTTTGGGAATGTCAATAAAAATTCAATGAACAATAAGTTTCCAAAAATAGAAATCCATCCTGCATACCTGTTTGTACTCTACAAATACACTGTATACATATTTACTCAAGTACACAAAGATGCATGTACACAGATGCTCAATTATTTGTAAGCACATAAAACTAGAAACAATCTAAATGTACATCAAGAAGGGGGCAGGTTTAATACACTACACAACACAGATCTACTCCCTACCAGCCAGCGGAAGGAAGAGACCTATGTGCTAATGTGCAAATATCTTAAAATACATCATGTAAGGGGGTGGGTTGGGAGCACTGCTCATCTGAATCTATGAAACATTTACATAAGTAAGGTAACAAGGTATCAAAGTTTGCTGACCAATCAGCATGCACTTTGATGCCACGGTCATTCACTTACAAATATGTTTCCTACACTCAAATTTAGGAGCTCTGGTGGTGTAGTGCCTAAGGCATTTGACTGTCACTCAGAAGGCTGGCGGTTCACACCCACCAGCCACTCCAAAAAAGGAAGACAGGGCCATCTACTTGTAAAGATTTACTGCCTTGGGAACTCAACAGGGGTCGCTATGAGTCGGAATCGACTTGATGGCAGTGAGTTTTGGTTTAGACTCAAATGAAATGCTACCTCCTCCCCTTGCTTCTACTTTAAACTCTTCCTGCTGGCTGTTTCTTTCTAATCCCAGTACGTTATCATAGATAAATGAGAGTGAACATATACAGAGAATATTTTCATCCTAGGAAATTTTTTTCTAGTATAATATATGAAAATCATGTGTCAATGGAATTTTGGCATCAGTTAATACTCTCTCTATATGGAATATGTTAAAAAGAAATGTGGGATACATAAAATATATCTATGTAAAAAGGCTAAAGTTACAAATATTTGATAGCTGACCATCTCACTTGTGTGAGCATTTTTAAAGGACCCACAGGGCTGTTCCTATGTATTGGGAATTTCAAATTGGAAATTTCCAGATGACGACACAAGCTTCACAGTGCTTACCTTTTGGGAGTGGGACCTCCACTTTCTACTTCAGTCCCTCTTGTACATCATTGTTGTTTGTTTTACTATAGCCCCACAATGCTTTATAATTTAAAAGAACAAATAATAAAACCCAAGCACCATGACTCTCTTACATGGATCTCATCTCCTGAAATTCCAATCCAACACACCTGTCCCAGACAAGCGCATCAACAGGCTTTGCCCCTGACCGGGAATCAGCGGTCTAATGCAATAGTTTTCCACATTTGACTA